TCAGCTCTACATGTTTCCTCATAAACTTTTCTCCAGGAGAGTCCTTCAGTTGCAGAAGCTAGAAACCTCCCTCATCCCTTCATTCAATTGCCAACTCCTATTTCTACATATCCCTAGATTCTGTCTGTTTCTCTGCATCTTCACAGTCTCCCACCAGGATTATTGCAATTGCTGCTGCTCCCTATGTCCGCTTTTGCACCCCTCCAACAGACCAGAAAACACAAAGTGATGCTTAAAACTTGGCAACAGCTTCCCATTCTTAGGATAAGAACTGACATTCTGTACATGACTTACAAGGCCCTGCATGATCTAGCTCCTGCCCACCTCGGCTGTATCTTATCAGTGACTCAAACACTGGACTGTCAGTATTGTTTGTTGAATTGGACTGAAACCACACCTCTCTCTCCTCTCTGCTCTAACCACACCAGCATTTTGATTCCTCTAACCTGTCACATACTTACATCTCAAGGCCTTTGTACCTGCTGTTTTCTGGCTTGCAATGCTTTCCCTCCACCTACTAAATTACTCATTCTTGAGTATTTGATTCAAATACTCTTTCCTCAAAGAACTCTTTCCAGACTGCAGCTCCCATAATTCTTCATGTTTGTGGCATCCACTTCTATCAGTAACTCATGAGGTCAGAGTCCTTGTTTGTATTGTTCACCATTGCTTTCTTATCACAGTTCCCAGCACATAATATGTGCTTGATAAATATTTGTTGGATGAACATCTTTCATTCTCCTCCCAGCTCGATCTACTAGCCATATAACAAAAGGAAGACTTTTTATTAGAGGAAGAGACAGAAGTGAATCTGAATTTAACCTGCTCTATTTTTTTCCACAGTGCTATCATGTATATAGTTTACTCATTTTGTTTATTATTTATTACTTGTGTCCTCCACCAGAATGTAAGCTTCATAATTCAGTTTTTGTCAATGTTAGCATTTTGTACACTGAGATAACTACCTAAAATAGTGTCCAACACAGTTGATGCTCAGTAAATATTTGTTGGTTGAATCAAGGAAGAAAGAATAGTTACAGAGCAAAGGTTTAGAGTTTGGCTTTAGGGAGGG